CTATGGAGGAATTAGCGATAAACGACGACCTTTCCCTAGGAAATTCTCTAAGGAAAGATAAAGTAAATAGGAGATCCCGAAACGGCGATAAACGAGGAAATACTATGATTATAAAAGTAGGAGGAATAAGACTATAATTTACGGAATAAAGTAAAGGGGGATAGGATTAAAGGAACGCGACGATAGAAGCGAGGAAGCGAAAGGAGATAGAAGGAAAGAATACCTTTTTCGTATATAAGAAGCTGAGAGAAGTATATATAGTTTATTACGAATAATCTAAAGATCTTAGGAGGACTAACGAGAACGAAACGTAACGGAAACGAGAAAGAATACGGATCGAAAGAAGGTAGATTAATAAATAAGGGTATAAGGAGCGAAACTAAGGTAGATTAGAAATAGGAAACGGAAGGAGAAACGAGGATCGAATTATAAGGCTAAAGATAGTAAGGAGTAGCGACTAAATTATATAAAGAGGATTAGGAAACGAAAAGGGGCTAAATATTTATAAAGATTACGTAATAAAGTTTAAAAAACCCGGAACCGAATGGTACTCCTATGCTAGGTCGGGAAGGAAACAAGGTACGTAGCTACGTACCGGATATTCATACTACGGAAGGTATTTATATTAAGAAAGTAGGGATTCTTTTTCGGTTTAGAGGGGAAATAAAATAGAAATAAATTTTATTTCTTACGATAAAAGGAATAGCTTTCTTATCTTTCCGAAAGTACCCTACCTTAAAACCTCCTAAGGGCCGGGTACGTACCTACGTTAAGATACCGGTACGTACCTACTATTGATAACGTAAGTACGTACTTACGCTAAGCTATTAATACGTACCGGATTTAAGATAGAAGGAGTAGCTTTTTTATCTTTTTAGAGGTTATTAGGAAAGGGTTTCTCTACGTATAGGAAAATCCGGTACGTACCGATAGCTTAGCGTAGGTACGTACCCGGACCTTGGGAGGTTTTAAGGTAGGGTACTTTCGGAAAGATAAGAAAGCTATTCCTTTTATTTCGACGAGGGATACGATATACGGAACGATCTCTTTACGTAAGGCTCTTATAAGTATAAGGATTTCATGGGATATTTTTAAAAAAAAGAAAAGAAATACCTCGGTACGATAGAAAATTTCTAAGTTTTAGCCGGTACGTACCGGAGTACTTCGTACCGGCTAGGGTTTACTAATACGGTACGTACCGAAGTATTTCGTACCGGCTGTTAATACGGTACGTACCTAAGTACTTCGTACTTATTAAGATTTATTAATACGGTATATACCGAAGTACTTTATACTAACGAAAAATCTTTTATTTTTAACGTAACGAAAAAGAATATATAAGATATAAGAAAGACGTTTTTATACGAATTATAATAAGAGAAAAAGGCTAATAACGTTTAAAATAATAAAGAAATTTCTTATATAAAAAAAACGGAAAAAGTATCGGAAAAAGGAGAAAACTTTTTTCTTCTTATCGTATAAATCGGCGGATATATCCTTAAAGGATACAAAAGATTTTATGCTTTCTTTCGACGTAATACCGGATCGGATAGGGATCTTTAGAAAAAGAAAAAAACTCGCATACCGGAACGAAAAATAAAAAAAGTGGCAAGCGTCGATCTTCTTAAATTCTGAAAAACGTAACTCGGGTTTTCCGCTACGGGTTTTAGAGATACGGGATCGAAAATTTTACATTACTATAAAGAAAGAAAGGGAATTCGAGTAAACCCGAGGCGAACCGGATCCGACGTATTTTAATCGCGAAATCTTATAAAGACCGTTTTATGATACTTTTTAATAAAAAAACATATAGAAATATTCTTCCTAATAAAATAATAAAATAATAAGAATTAAAGTATAACTATTTTTATATAAAAGAAATATCGTTATAAAGAACGAAAAATCTATTAAATTTATATAAAATCCTTATTATTATTCGATTTATAGAAAATATAAAAAAAAAGATAAAAGATATAAGGTTTATAAAAAAGAATAAGGTTTTAAATTTTCTCTTTTTCTACCTTACGTAATATACCTTTCTTATAATCCTAAAAAGTAAAGAGAAATTTAACCTATTTATTAACGAAGAGCCTAATTTTCTATCGATTTTATTCCTCGTTTTTTCTCGAAAAACGTACGAATAACGTCGGGATAGGAAAGGTATACGGGATACGTACCGCCGGAACCTCGCCCGCTAATAAAGGCATGAAAAAAGGTAGGTCTATCTTCCGAAAAAGGTAATAGTAAAAAGTATTTAGAATCGCGAGAAACGAATGTAGGAAAAATTTCATATGTAAGGGTTTTCAAAAAAACAACAACTAAGTTCCTCGTTTCCCATAGACCTAACCCCCTAACTGTCTCCGATATAACCTAAAAATTCATACCAAAAGCTACGAAAACGGCTCTGGAGCTACGAAAATAGCTCCTAATTAAACGAAGCTCTGGGGATCTCCTGATTTACGTATCCTAAACCTAATGACTGTAAAAACGATCGCAAAAGGTCATTCCTAAGACTGAGGTAAGGTTGCGGCTCGAGCTACTAAGTGGTCGTCACTGAACAGGAGCAGCGTAGGCACGCTAACGGAGGGACGAAACGGCTACCTAACTACTAATAACTGGCCTAGTACCGATTAACTAAGATCATAGCTATAAATAGCTATAATCGGTTAATCGGCCAGCTAAAACGGTAGCTGAGAAAGGGAACTAAAAAGAGAGGTAACGAGGATAGCTAGAAAGGCATGGCAAGAAACGAGTAAATAATTATAACTAGTAATAGCTATAGGTCTAAGTCTAACTAATGAAAATATAAGTACGCGACCCATATAAATACGTATCCAAAAGGCTACGTGGCCTAGATCCACCGCACCACTACAATATAAGCGTGGCTCGCGAAGGGGTAGCTCGTGGAGCGATGCTTCTAGCTTAGTTGTAGCACGCCCTCGGGGACTGCCTGCTAAAGTTATCCCATGGCCTTCCGCAGAGTGCTGAAGGCGTATCAGGTTAAGCTATTTCCACCTGTTAGACCCTTCCCCTTGGCACCCCTATTCTTCGGTTCGCATTATACCTAGTTGCATCATTATCTAGTACCAACACCACCATCATGTACCAACACCACCATCACGTACCAACACCATAACTAAAATGTACAAAAGTCTTACTAACAGAACCATCCCTTCCAGCGAATCACATAGGTGCACTTAATAAGCCACTCTCTATACCTACCCCATGCTGCCTACGGAGAACGTTGCCGTCCTGTTTAAGCGTGTTTGGTTGGCTACATTGGTATAAGCCACCCACGCCACGATATCATCAGCTGATAGAGGCTTGTTTATAGTATTAGCACTCGGCTATGCTGTGGGCACCTCACCGCTCATTGGGTATAGTATCTAGGGATTTGAGATGCCCTCCCTAACACCTGCAGAAGTGGATTTTCGATCCACTTGTTGGTTACTCTATTACTTGTACTTTGTGCATACATCTACAGTGATGGGTGCTTTCAGCGTGACCGAGTCCTTGCATGGGTCGTCACATGGTCACCTCATTGCTTAACGTTTTGCACCCTCTGCAAGGCAATGTTAAGCACAGTGCTATGACGAGGTATTCTGATTACACTTGGCCTCCAATAACCACTCCATTCAATGCCCCTGCTGGATCAATTTTTACATATTTACTAACGTTGAGGAAAGAGGGGAGGGGGGGTTGGTTGCATGTTTTATCAAATGACAGACAAAACCTGCCTCAAGCCAGGGTCATGGAAGTCTGAGAGGGCTGACTCGGGATACTAGAGGACGTATCTCAATGTATTAGAGGGTTAGGGAGGTAGTGGGAGGCGTTGATGTGAGCGGTTACTAGAACGCCACCGACCTGGTTATTCATTGACATGATATAAAGCACGAGGCTGAAATCAAAGGTCATCTGGTTACGGGCCATCCTTACTGCCAACAGAACTGGAATTATTCCTTAGCTCTACCATACACTGTAGCTGGTTATACCCTAGAAGAGGGAGAGAAGAAGAAATTGGGATTGGAGGTGAACCGTTCATGGAATGGTATACCGGTTCTACGAAGTATTAATATCTCCTTCATCGCTTGGGAAACGGGTATAAAATGATGCTAATTTCCTTCTTCTCCCACCTCATTTCAATCGCATTTTATTATCAAAACTTGTCTCTACTTTATAAATTTACATCATTCACTAAGTCAAACACCTAGACCCCCCTAAGCCATCAGACTATCCAACAAGATGAGCAACATTATCAAGACTTCCGACTTGGACCGACTGATCAAGAAGGGCGAAGACAGCCAGAAGGCCCGAGAGGCTGCTATGAAAAAACGCCAAGCTGAGGAGGCGGAGAGAAAGAGACAGGAGGAGATGCAAAAGTTGGCAGCAGACACCGGCAGAGCCTCTCAGGGAAGACGTGGAAAGGGGATCTAGGAAGCGCCTGGTTTGGCTTAATCAGCTGTTCCTACTGGTGGTGAACGAGAAACCTGGGTGCATCTCCACACGCAGACGTGTCTGTGATGATTTCATTTGTTGGGTTCTTTCTGGCGTTGTCGTTAGCAAGGCAGGTTGTCAGGATTCATATGCGAACATGCTGTCAGTCCGGTTTGGTAACGTTACTGAATTGAATTGACACATACGTTCCTTGAAATAAGCAACACAAATATACATGGACACTCATTTCTAACACCCGCTCATGCAACTCTGGCATGACTGGATGATACATCTGTCATGCCTACCGCTCTGTCGTTATTCCGCTGCTGATGTGCTGTTGTTCGGCTACTGTTGGGCCACTGTTACTGCGTTGACAAAAAAGGGACCTATTAATAGAGGCTGCTACGTAAGAATAAAAACCTTTCGGCATCCCTGAAGCAGCTTTTGCTTTTCTCATTTGTCAATTGACTGTCTACCGTTACCCCACCATCTGCTCTCCTGTCCTTCTCATCTTGACCCCACTTAGCATTGTTCTCTATTATACTCTACCTCTCCTCTCCCTCAAGATGGGCACACCATTCGACTTCATCGCCAAGCAAAATGCGGAGGATGCAAAATTAGCATTCATTCATAAGTTGGTCGATGCAAAACATGAGATTGTATCCTTTGTGGACAGTCGCCTCGGTTGGGACAGTGCTGGAGAGTTCCTTGACTACTTTAAAGGCTCATTCAACCTCAGCATCGCCGTCCTAAATGGCAATACTCAAGAGCGTGCTCTTATTCGCTTTCCAGTTCCAGGAAAAGTGCACGAGCCGTGGCTTGAGCAAAAGGTCAAGAACGAGGTCATGGTTATGAAATACCTCTCTCAGCATACGAGCATCCCCATTCCCCGAGTGCACCATTGGGGATTAACTGAAGAAAGTCCACAGCAACTTGGGCCCTTCATAATCGAGGAATTTATGCCAGGAGATGACCTTGGCGAGCTTCTCCGAAAGCCGACCGAGAACGAGGAGGATCCTCTTATCTTAGATCCAGATGTCGATGATGCGAAGCTCGACTTCGTTTACGAGCAGATCGCTGGCTTTCTCTTGGAGCTTTCGCGCTTGAAATTCCCGCGCATCGGTGCCATTTCTACGGATACCGAGTCCGGCCAGTGGACTATTGATGCGCCACCACTTACATACGACATGAACGAGGTCGTCGGCTTCGCTGGGTTCGATGCCTCTCATTTTACGACTACGGCGCCATTCGTTCGTGCGAGTGATTACTTCTCAGAGCGCGCGCGATACCTGCAGATAAACCTAGAAACGCATCGCAACATCGGGTTCGAAGACGAGAATGTCACCTGGAATCGGTACGTTGCCCGCCACTGCTTTGCTAAGCTGGTCCCTTTCTATGGCATTATCGACGACTTCGGACCGTTCCGACTCTTTTGTGACGATATACGACCATCAAATATGCTTGCCGACCCGAAGACAATGCGCATTACTGCGTTGCTGGACGTCGAGTTTACGAATGTCATGCCGGGCCAATACGCGTACGATCTGCCGTGGTGGCTTATACTTGGGAACCCGGCTATCATGATAAGCGAGGGAAAGCAGGAGTTCTTAGATCTATTCGAGCCGCGGAAAGAACAATTTATCCGTGCCGTGGAGAGGGCCGAGGACGCATCAGCCCTGCCAGCGGGAGAGCAGCGTCTCTCGGTTCGAATGCGGGATTCGTGGGACAGCGGACGTTTTTGGTTCAACCTTGCAGCACGTAGTAGCTTCGACGTCGACGAAATTTACTGGAAGTGTCTACATAAGGACGGCCGAGGCGAGGCGATGTTGGATGAGGCAATACTCTCTCAGAAGAGCGGCTTTCTGAAACAGAAGAAGGATCAATTCGAGGCGTATTGGGCCGAGAAGCAAAGTGACACTCGCTTTACTGATTGATCTTTCGCCGAGCGGGATAAGAATGGGTACTATATTCCTCATGGGGTCTTCTCCGAGCTATAATTATCTCGAAGGGGGCAAAGACCACGATTAAATGTTGATATGGAGCAACGTAAAGGTCACCACTCGTAAGACGAACGTTATGAGCTAGAGAGGGTCGTTGGGCCTGCGAGGCAGTGAATTTTCCACTTTTTTTTATCTCTGTATCGCAGCACATACGTTTACGCAGTTTCGTGGACCACATTTGCTCTCCGGGCAAGGAGTAGAAGTTGACCATGCTCACGGCCTCATCCTCTACGAGGCTCCACATAAGGATCTAATACTGAGTTGAAGCGCGTCGACCCCGATACAACCCAAGAAACTGCGTCACGGATTCGGGGAGGGGGGTGGGAAGAGGGCGGATGGATACGTCTGAACAGACCGATAGATGGTGCAGGCGTTAATGACAACGCTGCCCGACGTCGCCTCTAAACATTTACAGGGTATGAATAGGTGATCTACCTAATACTGTTAGTTGAAGAGGGGAAACGTGTGGGCTGGTGCGCTCAGTTGTTCAAGTTTCAGTATTAAAGCAAGGAGCTGACGTTGAATTTCGGCCGGGAGGCTTTCCGGCGTTAGATTAAGCTAGAGATCAAGAGCATAGAGACCAGTTACTGAAACCAGCCGAGCTGAGTTTCATCAGGAGAGACTCACAAGGAGCCTAAACGTACAGAAAATACGACTCATTTTCGGCACGAGAGACAGTCGTTGAACCAAGTCCACAAGTCAACAAAAAAGACAGCTTGGTTAAGAGTATCTAGCTCACCACGAAGTTAGGTAGAGGATTGGAGGTAAATACTTAGCTATAAGGGTTAAAGTCCACTATACCAGGTACGACAGGGCATAGAATGCGTGAGACACTCCTAAACCCATCTATGCCACGAATACAAATCTTTCTGTCCACCCTCACCCCTCTACTACACCTTCTCATTAACGACGTCACAGACATTGCTTCTCTTTCGGATAGACTATAGAATATCTGGACGATCTGTCCGCTCGGTAGTCTCGGGGTCGTCGGTTGACTCGTTTAATTCAATGCACATCGCATCCTCGGCACCCTTGAGGATTAACTCGGCCGCAGAGCTGCGATTGGAAATATCTTGTAACACTGTCCTTTATGCGTTTCTGCATGCGCTTGGGAGCCACCGTCGCGCCACCGCGGCTCTAAGAAGAAAACAGCTCAAAAATCCCCCTTTGGTAATATGGCGATCAAGAAGGAACCATACAAGCAGTAGTACCTATGGGGTAGGGGGGGGGGGTGTCATTGACGTGTCTGACAGCAGTCTGTGGCCCATTTCTGGGCAATTATTGTGATGTTCTGTAAATGCCTTCCCGGGAGCTTATATGGACATCCCTGAGACACTCATATTCGTGGAGAGACAATTTTACCGGCGGGTTCTACGTTAACTTTTGGTATTCCTCTAGATGAAAAGTGACGAGTCACGATTCAGGGCTTGTTCTAAGAGTGCCTTCCGGGTAGAGCTCCTCGCCGATACGATCGGCCAGCGGTTTTGAGTGCCTTCGGGGATCAATGTAACCATCATTATATGGATATTTTAAGGTCTAAGACTCCATGGTCACGGCTAACTAAGTTGCGGATGGCAGGTCTCGGTTCAACCCACGAGTTTTCAAACGGCTCATCAGAGAGGAGGGTATTAGCTATGCTCGATTAAGCTCAGGATGTCATGTAAGGAACCTTACTTGCGTAAGCTTACATGTTATTTGTATTCAGATATCTAGGTGGCTCCTCCACGACGGCCACTTCCTCGTGAGACAGCGCAGCCACTCAAAAGTTAGTAGCGCACGCGATAGTCACGGCAAAATACGGACCGGAACAGTCTATATAGGATAGGCATATTGGTATATTGCATCGCTTTCATCGAAGCTCAACGGGATAGATATTTATAACATATAAACTACAAGACCACGAGGCCTCTTATCGTATTTTGCAGTAATAAATTGTCATTAGACTTCCGACAAATAACTACGGAGACTACATTACCAGATCTCAACTGATCAGGGGACTGTCAAGGCAACGTAAAAGTCCCTATTGGTAAGGTCGGATTTAGCAGTCCAGCCTCAACATCCTATCACCCGCTTCAGATACCCTTCCTCTTTCCATCTAGAATCTCCTGGAAGACGGTTCTCGCCGTTTTCCCACGGACATCGGGATATAACTGCTTGAAGTCAAGATACCCGAGATAGGCCGCTGACTCGGGGGAGCCGTCTCCCCGCAGGCCCCAAGAGTCGACGTACTGATTCAACGCGAGGCTCAACTTCGCGGATTCATCTTCGGGGTCAGTTCTCAACTTCTCGTTAGCCGCCTTAATGGCCTTGTGGATTTCCTCTGCGCTCAACTACCCATCATTCATATTAGCCCAACTCCCGTAGTCATCTCGTCATACAAGGTCTGTTAGCTTACGTATTTTCTTATGGCCTTTTCCCCGCTCAGTTCCTCAATGAGCTCCGTAATTTGATTCGGTGTGAGGATTTCCGTATAGGCATAAACCTTCTTATTAAGAGTTCTCGGGTCGACGATGATTTTAGCTACATAGGTCCCTATATCTAGCACGTCCGTATAGGCCAGCGGTTTCGCGCCATCACCCGGAACAATGTTCAAGATATTGGTCACAGGAGAATCTGTTCTGCCCGACGGGAGTGCCGGGACTGCCTGCGCCGTCCACCAGCCGACATCAATGACTGTGTACGGCAAGTAGAGACGCTGGATCGCCGCAAGCACGTCTTCTTTCTACCGATATAGTCAGCTCAGCTCGAGAAAGGCCTGCTTGAGAATCAGCACTCGCCTTATCGCGCAGCAACATGACGCCCCTCGGTGCGGTCGTGCTGAAATCGCATGGGATGAACCGTTTCACACCAGCTTCTTTTGCTGCTTCGGCCAACGGTACTTGATCGTCCAAGCCGGTCCAGACAATACAGGAGATAACGATGTCGATATTGGTCAGCAGCTTAACAAGATCCTGCTTAGGTCCTCTTAAATCTGCCGCTACGACACGGACGCCGCGGCTCTTGAGCGCGTCGTTAGCCGCGCTGTTGATAGAAGCATGGCGAGAGAAAGCAGTGATTTCCTAAGACGCCAACAACGTTAGCTTGAGAGAGGAGCGTGCCACGACCACACCCCAGGATAGTTATACAGACAAACTTCGTCTCCGATGCCAGCAACCCATCCGTAACGGACGCGCCCGTCCGACCGGTAGCGCCGATTATGGCCACTCTGACCGGGGCTGCCATTCTGCGATATGACGTGTGGTTGGACGTGGTTCTGGTCGAGGTTGAAGCAGTAAACACCTTGGCAACTAGTCACTTTGTCCTATATCGATTTGATCGCCTGTTCCTCCCTACGCAGCTTCCTCTTTTTTATACACGACGGTACGATTGAGGGCAAGGTTACATCTATTAATCGGCACCAGCAAAGTCGACTTCCCCGCCCTACCGTCTCCTCGAGCTACATCATTTCATATGTCGAACGGCGTCATTTGTCAGCAGTTTTGTATGTTCTCCTCTGATCATTTGTCAGCAATGGCGGGCTCGGGTCGATTATTGAATCGTTGAATTTCCAGGCGATCGGACTCGGCATGACAGGAGCGTACGAGAGGTACAAGGCGACTTGGGGTTGAGCGAGGTTACGAATATCGATGACTCTACGTTGCAGGCGTAACAGCGCTAATTCGCCTGGCTTAGGAAGCGTGAGATCAGGATGAGGTATTGGGGCCGGAACGGCACGGGGATGTGGGAAGCTCACCACAGGGGATGGATCCAGCCAACGCTCCGCGAAGCAGATGTTGCCTTGAGATACGCATCACGAGGCCGCGTATAGTAGTAGGGTAGAACGGCACACAATTAACGCAAGTATGCCATACCTAGGTGGGCAGAGGCATAGCCTAAGGACCGGGACCTGGGTGAAATTGAAATAGGTTAGAACGCCGCTTGGGCACTTTGCGCATATCTATCTGTTACGACCCTAGGCCATCGTAGTCCTAGGGCGTTGATTCCGATACCAGTTCCATATCACTCTCCCGGAACTATCCATTAGCGCGAAGCGACCTTTCACGGTTCCCGGGCGTCGTGGCCAGATCGCTGGGTGGGGCTAAATATACCCAGTTGGCGACATAGAAAAACAGCCGCTGTTCTCCCGGCAAAAATTTCGTCAAAAACCCGGCCTATTACCGTGGCAAAGCAGGCAGAGGACATCGCAGAACTAAAACCAAGACCGCGCGATCCGCGCGGGAAAATAATGAATTCATGTCACTGCGTCTCCATCCCAGTATCTCACTGTCTCCTGGCACCGTTTCTTCCGTGGGAGACGCAATTCCATCCGGGACCTGACACATAAAAGGGGAACAGAGATAAACCCTTTGCGACCGACGAGTACCGGCCAGCGGGAGGACATGACGACGAGAACCGATAGGAATTTGTGCCCGTGCATGTACCTATGTGTGCGATTCCTCGCGTAGTCGGCATGTCGGATAATTCCTCGCGCACGGGCGCCACGCCAGTCCGATGCGAGACACGATCTTGGGACCGGGTGGCGGAGGGGTAGGCAGGGAAAAGAGACAAAAAGGAAAGGGGGCAGGGGAAAGTACATCAGTATATATACTCATTAGACTCGCTTCAAATCATCCACAAAGCCCAGCATTTCCCGTTTCTCGTCGCATACACGTGCAAACTCTAAGAGCAGTCTCCAGACATAGAGCAACATGTCTTCTCTCCTGAGCACCTTGGCGCCCCACGACCGGCCTTCGTCAGCGATGAATCGCGCCGACATATCGCCTCTCTTATCTCTGGTGAAATAATCAAGAATGGAGTACAAATCCTGAAAGGTGTTATCCATGGGAGCAAAGTGCAGCCACGGCATTAAGCGATCGTCGTGCCATTCCGCGTATATGGTGGCCTTGATAGGCAGCGAGGTCGACAGGAGGAAGCCCCTGAATCTAGCGCTAAAGCTGTTGCCGTCGACATCGGGCATGAACTTATACGCGTATTGATCCTTCATAGGGACGCCTGCCACTTTGGAGAAGTATGGCTGGATGTAGGTGCAGTTGGAATCAGCGGGGAAGCAGAGGAGATCAACAAATCCCGCATCCGCGAACCTCTCTAGCCAGGCACCCACGGTCCCCTCCCGCCGTCGCGGAAAGTCGTACTTGGGGATCGGCGGCATCTCAAAGGTCATCAGAGGCGCGCCGTTGGCCTCCATCGCGGACACGGCCGTCCCGTTCAGCATCTCGATGAGGCGGTGCCGCTGGAAATGGGTCCAGTTTTCCTTTTTGTTGCGGCCGCCAGACGCCACGCCGCGCCACACGATGCCGTCGAGCTTCTGACTCCAAGACGGGCCATGCGTGTCCCCACCCGAGTAGATGGGGTCCTCTGTCAGATACATGGCGCCCGGGATGAGCATCTCGTTATTCACCGAGAGTTTACACCCGCCGAACAAAGGGACCAGCTCCTTACTAGTCGACATGCTTAGGGGTTCGATGAAAGTTCCATGCAGGCCGCGCAGATGTGGCTGGAGGCACGGGTCCATTACCGCGGTGAAGTTACGAACGTATCCTTCGTACGAATACGTCGGGTTCCATTCCTGCGGGAACACTGGTCGCTCCTCGAAGTTTTCAATCGCTGCTGCGTTGCGAGCGGGGGAATCGGGGGGGCATCCCACACGCGCAAGATCCCAATAGCTCCCCCTATGCCACTGCGGACGGTAGGGCTCAAAGCCGTCGGGCTTAGCGTCGGTCGCGGCCAGGCCCGAATATTCTGTTATGACCTCATCGACCGGTGCAACGAAACGAGCGGACAGCTCCCGTTGAACGAGGCTCGTTATATCCTCCCATGGTACGATTACGCGCGACTCATCCATATCGTTGATGGGCATATCGACATCCGGCAACCACGGCGCGGCCTCGGCGACCAGGGCGGTCCAAAGCTGCAGCCACGGGACTTTACCAGCCGTATTGCCCACACCAGTGGCGATACCGCCTCGGACACGAACGACATAGTCCCACGTGGAGGCTCTCTCGGCAGTCGTCCGAGGTTCGAGACCCCAGAACGGGGCAACGTCAGCGTATATGCGGTCAAAGAAAGACTCGACGACGATCGCGTCGTGTTCTATCGCGTATCGGAACCATGCCTCGAAGCCCGGTGGGGGGTGGCGACCTCGGCGGGCGCGATACCGTGCGGCGGCAACAGGAAGGTCGAAGCTCTGTTGGCTGAGCAGCTTCTGATGGTCGGCATAGGCATCGCGAATCAGTTGATCTATGGGATGGTCTGCCGTCTGATTCCAAAAGTACTCGAAGTAATTCGAAGAACCATGGCCGCGGAGGAACCCCTCGGGACGACTAAAGAGGAAAATACCGGAGAGGGCCAGGGAGATGACAAATGTGATGACAGCGTACCCGAGGATCGATTGCCACCTCAAGAAGCGTATGCGACTGTCTGGCAGGTTAGTCACCCAGTCGCGAATGCGCTGAGGGCCTAGCATCGCTGTGGGCCGGCTGTTCGCTTCCTCTTTCCAAATTCTTCACGGAAGCGCAAGCGTAATACGCCTCATGATGGTGGCCGATGTGTGGGGAGCCGGATAGGCCCAGGGGGTCCTAGGAATGACGACTAGCGAAAAGCTACTGCGTCAGTGGGGAGAGGACGGAAGCTTGGAGGCCACAACGGGGACGAGGTCGGGCGAGAGAAGAAGCAGTCAGCCAGACGAAAATTTGGGTTTGTTCAGATGGGGGCGGGTGGATTTTCACGAAGCAAACGAACCCTCCGAAGACATTAGACGTACTCCCCCCCGTTCCCCTTGCCTCTCCCCCCCGCCCCCGTCCCCCTCAAGCACGGCGCAGTCTTATACCTCTCTGCTTACTCGCGCACCCACGTTACCAAGCGATCCCAAATTTAGGTATCACATATCAGCCCCCAGTTCTTATCTGCCTCTGTTGGGTTACGTGATCGCCAACTCTACTAGCCTACAACGGTCCTAGTTGAGGTCTAGGCGAGACCGGCCGGAGCGTCGCCAATCCCGAAAGATGCTGCGCATAAACTCGGACGGCGACAGCATCGTAAGGCGACGAGTTGTGCTTCCGCCTATCATGCCTCCCTAACGACCATCAATCCGAGCTATCTGACTCCGTCCTCGCCGTAAGTTCCTTGGAAACGGCTCAGGCTCGGTCATCGCATACGGCATCCGTTCTTCCCATGCAGCGACCCATGTAAGCTCATACAGGCGGTATTTTCGTCGGTGATTGGTGATCACCACGGAGTAGGTGCTCGACGTAGAGACCCGGTAGACCAAGATATACACGAGGGACGAGGACGAGAAGGACTCAGTGGGCCGAATTCCGTCTTTATCACAGACTGACTCCGTAAATGGGAACAGGTCAGCACGCTAAGTATTACCGAGTCTAGGAGTCTAGTTTATTGGTACCTAGGTACCTAGGTAATCTAGCGGCTGCTGCCTGCCGTCCCATGTCAGCTACCAAGGACGGCGTGTGTATCTGTCATCTGAGATGGCGGGACAGGGATCCAAGCGCATACCTAGGTACCTCCATAAGGTGGGTGGATTATACCTATCTTAGGTACCTATTTAGTTTTCTCTAACGGGACATTCTCCAATCCACCTGATGTCTCCTGTCCAAGAAGTACCTAGGAGGTTATATTGTGTTTATGTGATGCATCAATAAAAGGTGAAGGTATGCATCCGCGGGATATATCTAACATGCGGTATACGACCTAATTCCTTAGAACCTACACTTCACATTAACAATACCTACCTTGTGCAGGCATCTGTCCCTAGATACATGTTTAGGGATAGATACCTATCTGCCTACCTACCTTGGGTACCTAGGTAGGTATCCTTAGCTTCAGGTCGCCTCAATGCACACACCCCTAGGTCGGTAACCCACATGGGGATGTTCACGCATGTGTACGATACATAATGTACCTAACCATGCATGGGGTACACACCTATGTGCTAGGATATAAATACCCGCGTATCCACGTGGATATTATCTTCAACAAATCCATCTTCCACCCACTCACTCCGGACGCATAGGAATGATGAATATCAGCACCCAGGCTGGGACGTCGGTGGCCGGAACCAAATCTCCTCAGCAACCACCGATGCCACTTAATCCTATCCGGAGGATAGTTATAATACGCATAACCCCCTGTTATGCTAATTAATTACGGGGTTAAATACCCTTGTAAATAGCCCTATAAATAACCCTGTAAATAACCCTGTAAATAACCCTGTAAATAACCTTATAAAGGGGTGTTATTTAGGGGAAACTCTATTTTTACTGGTTAAAAAACGCGCTATGGGTCCCTAAAAATACGTGTACCTAATAAAAACGGCGGGATAAATAGAGGTTTTCTTATTTAGCGTATTCCTATTATCCCCTAAGATCCTTGCGTATATTTATTAACGCGTTTATTTATACGTTTTTATTCTTATTTATATAATTCCTATTCTTTTCCGTATCTTATAATCTATCCTTATAATTTATCCTTAGTTTAATTAAGATAAAGTCGCTTTAAGTTAAAGAATGTCGTACTTACGGAAGAATTTAAGCCATCGAATAATTTATTAATTTACGAAATTACGCTATATTTATAAAAAATTATTTCTTTTATCGCGAAAATATACGCCGTTCTACTTAGGTTAATATTTTATATTAATAGTTTATATTTTACCATTAATTTTATATAGGATTTCCGATCCGATCTTACGCTTAAGACGCTTTAACCGGCTCCGCGATTAAATATTACTTATTATCGATTATATTTTATTACCGCGTAACTTCGGTTATATGGTTTAAGCGTTAAAGAGATAGCTTTACGCGTAGGTAACGTATTACGATAGTAAATTCGAAGACGGTATAAGGTAACCCGACGTAATAACGGTAATCCTTTTCTTATTTCTTTACTTTTTTCGTTAATAATATAATTATAACTAGCGGATTTAGCGATAGCGCTAGAATTAGCGCCCCGGGAGCGACTTCTTCGAGTACTTACGCGAGAGTTAGCTCGTCGAGGCCGACCTTTACGTACGCCTACGTTAGAATAAGCGCGAGAGTTAGTTCGTCGAGGCCGACCTTTACGTACGCCTACGTTAGAACTAACGCTAGAGTTAGTTCGTCGAGGCCGACCTTTACGCGCGTTTACGTTAGAATTAACGCTAGAGCTAGTTCGTCGAGGCCGACCTTTACGCGCGTTTACGTTAGAATTAACGCTAGAATTAATTCGTCGAAGCCGACCTTTACGCGCGTTTACGCTAGAATTAATACTAAAGTAAGTATAAATACGTCGAGGCCGATTTTTACGGCCTCTTACGCTAGAATTCCTTACGCTAAAACTAACGCGAAAGTAACCGCGCTTAGGCCGACCTTTTAATTAGACCTTTTCCTTAAATACCGTTCGTTCTTAGGAACTTAATAGCGTTTTTAATCGTTAAAATTCGTTTATAATTAAGCCGTTACGGTAGGAAAAAGACCTCGACGCTAGCGTAATTAGCGATACCGATTACGCGATTTTAATACGGTTTTAATTAACGTTAAAATAAGAACGACGTAAATATTATAATCGTTACGGGGAATATTAATTTAATATAGATTTAAATACCGCGGATATTTATAAGCGTTATCGTAATAAAGATTAAAAGAGGCGCGTAAATAAGCCTTTCTTTTTTAACGTAGGTAATTATCTTAACTTTAGTATTCTTTCTTTTTTTAATTTACTATTAGAGCTAATAATAATCGAAGAACTACTTATTACGTAGGTTTACGTAGTAATAAATGTACTTATAATCCGCGGCTAATAATATAAATATCGCGGCTACGTCGTATACTTTATACGTAACGTTAGTAAAGTATACGATTATCTTTTCCTTTTCCTTTAATATCTTAATATCGTTTTATTACGCTTACGTAAGCTAGCGTAAAATCCCGAGTAAATAACCTAGTTTCGAACTAAGTTTAGAATACGCCGGCGCGTTATCGAAATATAGCTTAAGTATTTAAGATATAATTACTCGGGTTATAAAGACTTTAAATAAAATCGCGCCGCGCTAGAAGAGCTACTTAACGACGGTAATATTTTTAAGTAGCTTAATATTTAAGACTTCGTCGATAACGATTAAGCGCTTTAGGTTAGCTTAGTTACGGAAGGCGACCTAAAAGGATTAGAGGCTTAATACGATAAATTTATTATACTAAACGTTACGTTAAAGTAGATTAAGATAAAGCGTTTAGAGTTAGAATTAAAGGAGGCGTTTATTTCTAAAGGTTATTTCGTTAAACTTATAAATACTTATTATTTATCTATGCCTTTTATTCGTTAGACCTTTATTAACGAGTTTATGCGTTTAATTACGTTATTTTTATTAGCGTTTCCTATCTTATTTCCGTATAAAGAAGCTGAATTTATATATCTAAAGTAGCGTAAGATCGATTTCGACGATTAAGTATAGTACGTTATGCGTTAACGCGATAATCGATTCGCGTAATATCTTACTTTCCGCTTTATCGCGCTTAATATACTTATGCGTTAATAAGCGATAGTAATAAGTAAATATTTCGTAAGGAGAAAAGGCGCTTAGTAGTAATAGATTACGCGGTAGGATTTCGAGTAAGCGTTAGAGAATCCTAAAAGTACCGAGGCTAATGCGTTATTAAGGAGTATTACGCGCGTTATAGTTTATTTAAAGGATACGCGGCCTTTTTAGTTTAAACGAAAACGCGAGTACGTTACTTTTACTAAGTATCTCGGGGTTCCTAGCGCTTTTCTTACCTTAAGCCTTATTAATCTTTATTAGCGGAGCCTTTTTTAATATATATTACGCTTTTAGGAATGGCTTTTCTCCTTTGAAATCTAACGTATGCGCTTATTCCGCGAGTTATTAAAAACTAATCCCTATATTACCGCGTAATATTTTTACGCTCGGAATTAACTCTTCCGTAATATCGTTTTAGTTAAGAAGTTCGATTTATACGATTATTAATATCGATACGAATTTTAAGGGCGTAGGAGTACGTATTACTACGGGTTATTTTAGTTCGAAGGTAGTCCGTTACTTAATATAACCTCTTTCGAATAGCGCTAAAACTACGCTCGTATTTAGAGCTATTACGCCTTTACGGTTAACCTAGAGCCGCGCCGGCGCTTAGATTAAAATAAAGGTAATTCGTTTATATTACGGCCTTTAAACGCGCGGCCGTCGTTTCGTTAGTTCTTTTAGATTATTAATCGTTATTAACGTTATAAATATTCCCCCGTATATTACCTCCGTATTAATAAGCGTAAAGCGCGAGAAGCGGGATAAGGTAATAGCGTTTTACTACCTTTAGAATGCCGATTTCTTTTCCCGCGGCCGTACCGCGCCTACGCCGAGATTATTATACGGCCGTATAAAACCTAGTAGTTATTTAAAGCGTAGCGTAACGACGAGTAGTTAAATTAATATAATCGAATAATTACCTTTACTTAGCTAGC